GCCTTCCATTGCACTCTTCACACCCTGTCTGGTCCTCTGGCTAACCTCAGGGCCATATTCCTCACTGTCCCCACTCTGGGCCTGGAGTGCAGGGTTGGGGAAGCCCTGAGCACCGCTGGATAATCTCTGAGCTTCTCCTCTGGGTCCCTGGAGGTTCCTCCAGCCTTGGTGCCAGGCTGCCTTGTTCCACGAAGACACACAAGCCAGCTGAGCCTGGCACATGACACTGTTATAGGGGGCACTTAGTGCTCACCAACCATGGGACGTCAGCGGGGCCCAGAACATCAGGCCAGCACCGTTCCTCTGCGGCCAGGCATACCCACCTTCTCTCCGGTCATGGCAAAGGGTGCATTGAACCACTGCTCGAAGGTGCTGCAGCTTTTGAAGATGGTGGGCAGCAGGAAGTTGAGCAGCGCCCAGAGCTCAGGCAGCTTGTTCTGCAGTGGCGTGCCTGTTAGCAGCAGGCGGCGCGGGGCAACGTAGTGTGTGTTGAGGACCTGTGTCAGCTTGCAGTGGTGGTTCTTCATGCGGTGGCCTTCATCCACGATCATGTACTTCCAGCGGATCTGTGGAGCCCAGATCAGGAGGTCAGGGGAGGCACGGCAGGGGTGGCCCTGGCTCTGGGGAAATCTCAGACTCAGGACAGAGGCATAAAATATAACCCCTGTTAGCCAGGAAGGCTCCAGAAGTGCAGGTTGAGGTGGAGAACGTCTCCCAACTCACAGAGTTAGAGCCACACACACAGCCTCTATCAAGCACAGGGTAAAGAGGGACATGCACATAGGAGACAGGCCCGAGCAATACTGTCAGGTGAACACAGCAAGCTGCACAAAAGTGCTTAGGTTTCCCCCAAAATAACATACGCTAATATACAACACAGAAAAAATGCCCAACACATCTTGGCCTAACACACATCTCACTGATGGGAGGGCTTCCCTGGGGTGGGGGTCTCAAGGGGACTGGGGTGGTGACAGGCACGTCTCCAATGGGCAGGATGTCTCTAAAAACAGACGAGCACACAGGTTGGCTCAGAGGGTGAGTACTATTGAGCGGGCTCCCCGTTGACCCCCAGCCACTCTCCAGAGTCCATTGGTGGCTATGTCAGAAGGACACAGGCCAGACAGAATGTGTCCACTGGCAGAAGCCCCAGGTTTAAATTTCAGTTTAAGTCTCTGGTTCTGCCTCTCTAGGGTGGGCACTACACAGGTCTTCTGAGAACACTGTGAGGCCTGAAAGGGGCCCCACACAGCCAGTGCCTGGCACGTAAAGCACAGCACTGGTCAGGGGAGGGCACGGGAGCTGCCCCCACAAGGAACGCTTCAGCACTCTCAAGCCACTGCCAGCTCAGCATGGGACTTTCACAGCCTCCCCGTCGGGCTTGGGACAGGCCTGTATCAGATCAGAAGGGGTGAGCTGCAGAAAGGACAGCAGCAGTACAGGCCCAAGGGTAAGAGCCAGCACACTGGATGGGCCTCAGTTTCCTCAACTGTAGGTTTGGGGAAGCACAGAAAGCTCCAACATCATCATTAGGACACATGCTGAGAGGCGTGGTAACCTGTAAACACCTCCCCAGCCCTGGGTCAGATGTGC